AACTAAACTGCGCGTCGTTCGCGGCGTACGGCGTCGGTACGGCCATCGTCGATTCTGCGTCGTCATTGATTGGAATTTAGCATCCCCCCTTCCAGCTCCCTATCTTTCTTGGGATCAAGGGTGCGGATTACGCTATGAAGGTAATCCCAGCGGTACTGTATTTTTAAAACTACATAAATTATTAGCTTTCAATAACTGATACATCATTAAACATTCTCGCCAGGTTCTCGATAAAGCAGTGAACCTCATCGATCACTTCAGTGTCTGAAGGGAATCGCTTCAAGTCCAACTGTTTTTTCAATTTGAGGTACAGGTACTGTGAAACACTGAAACAAACTTCGACCTGCAGTTCAGAAACACAAAAGAGTGATTTTGAAATATTCACCCATCAACCATATACTTTGAAGTTGAGTCATTAATTTTCAGATAATGATTGTAGAAGGAAGATAAACCAAAATATGTGTGTAAAAATAAAAATAAAAATTAAAAAAAGTGTTACTTCGTTTTATAAAGTATCCTCCCGACAAGTATTTCAGTGCGGACCTGTATTTGATCGTGCGGTATTGGAGCACAGGCATCCCCTCCCCTGTGAGGTCTTAAGTCACATGATTCACGAGCCCTTTGTACTACATTAACAAAGGCACGAGGGGTTGGTTGCACTCGATTGGAAAAACCGATCCGCATAAATCCGTGATGCCGCGGCAGCATTTTGTAAAGACTCCCCCCCCCGTAAATAAGAATCATGTCCACAAGCTCAGCATTTCTTTCACTCACGCGTTACCGACTGACACATTGACTGAATACAACTGAATAAAATTGTAGTAAAAACATCGTGATAAGCGTTTCAGATTCTTTCGCTTTTTTGTTTCCGATGCGATGAACCGATAAGGCGGATTATATCCGTTGTTGCCAAACACGAGCACATAATATTATTATTGAGACATTGTGGTACTCAAACTTCTAAAGGGCTATAACTTCGTTACTTTAATTTTACCACAAAAATGTTAAAGGAAAAAAACATTTCTTTTGAACAGATCTTCTCACTGTTAAAATAAATGACTCAACTTCGAAGTCACCCTGTAGCGCGGACTTGACACCGTGTGATTCTCTTCTGGTGCTTGAGTTGGAAAAACATTTGTTAAGACAATCAGGTTTGACGAATAGGCGAAAAATGGGGTTCAAAGCTTTCTTAAGACCTGGTGGTGAGCTGGTGTGATATGGATATACGAAAACTGCCACAGCAACTACAAAAATAGATCGATACACCACTTGTTTTATTATACAGGGTGTTTCAGTTTATTGTTGCATAACTTTAAGATTCGATAGAACTTTTAAAATTAATGCATAAAGTCTATATAAATATGGGTTCGAAAAACTGCGTGGCTTCCGAAATACAGGGTGTTTAAATTTACTTTCTAAAATAGTTTTTTTTAAATATTTCGAACAATATTTGATGTATAACAGTGAAAATTGGTATACAAGGGTTTTTTGGTACGACAAAACGAACCATGGGCATAGTTTTACTGTAGCCGCTAGAGGGCGCTCTCTACTGTACCTGTAGTGTATTAAAGTGACCGAACATTTTTTCTTAGTGCAATTTTTTGCTTTTTGAATAAAAAAACTGATTCTTCGCACTTTTCAACATAAATAAGCTCTCTTGTGAGTTTTCGTTATAGTTAGCCGTTTTTGAGGTATTTCGAGTTATGCAACAATAAACTGAAACACCCTGTATATCAGAATTAACGCATCCTCATTGAAAAACCCTTTATTCAAGCAGCCATGAACGAAAATATTATATACAGCGTTTGTTGTGAATTCTTGCTTCTAAGATTCTGAATATTTTGGTCATCCACGGTTGATCATATTTCAAAGTAGGGTGTCCACAGAGTACTTAATAAAAATCCAGAATATGTTACGAACTCGTTTATTGTACAACAAACGTTAAAGATATTTAAAAAATTACTAAAACTAATGAGAATTTTTCATTCAGATACTCTTTTAACGAAACAGCGAAATCTCGATATAAGAGAAAACGAACCATTATTATTGAATGCTGTTAGAAGCCGACCTATTGGGGCCAAACAGTTTGATAATATTCCGGAACAACTTCCTTTATTACCAGCAAATTTTAGAGGCTTTTATAAAAATTTAAGAAGAGGAGACGATTAGTCACATTGTGTGGACTATTTGTTATTACCTTTGTGAGTTTGTAATAAGAAAAAAGATCAATGTTTACTTTTAATAAATAACATCACCGAATAACAACTTTCTGCTACTTTCATTTCCCGGACCAAGCAAATATCAGTTTTTTAAAAAGATGTTAAGTCAGATTTTCAACAATCTTTTTCAAATTTCTGATAATAAAAGCAATTTTTTTAACAAACCTGTCTATTGGACATACTGCTACATGTGCCTAAAAGCAGCCCTAACATTATTCAATAAAAAATGTCAGGCTTTAAACTTCGAGACCAATTCACTGGACAACAAATTTTAGTTTTTTAATTGTATCCTGTGGGAAAAGTGCACTTCTTTGTTAATTTTGGGGCGCTGGATCCAAAAATGACAATGAAATAAAAAAATTAGTTGCGGTTTCGAAAAAAAACTTTTTATTTTTAAGGATATATTAAAAAAAGTAACAAGATTCATATACTTATAAGAATCACTATATGCGCTGTCTTTTTGCTGTTCTTTTAAGGATCGGTTCTGGAGCATCTCTACCAAGAGTCCAACAGTAGTCTGCAAGCATGGAAGGATTCCACTTTCCCTGGTACCTTTTTTCCATTGTTGAAATATCCTGATGAAAACGTTCGCCGTGCTCATCACTTACGGCTCCGCAATTGTCAGGAAAAAAGTCCAGGTGTGAGTGAGGAAATGTATCTTAAGAGACATATTACAGCCCATCTTTTGATACGATGACAGCATATTTTTGACAATGGTTTTATAGTTGTCAGCTTTTCTATTTCCCAAGAAATTAGTGACCACCAGACGGAAATCATTCCAAGCAGTTTTTTCAATACCTGTTAAAGTGTCTTCAAACTGTATATCTTTCAAAATATTTCGAATCTGTGGCCCAACAAAAATACCTTCTTTAACCTTTGCCTCACTTAGTCTTGGATATTTCTGACGCAGGTATTGAAAAGCTGACCCATCTTTATCTAATGCCTTGACAAAGTTTTTCATTAGGCCCAACTTGATATGCAGTGGTGGTAATAATTTTTTTTCGAATCTACTAGTGGCATATGCTGTACATTTTTTTGACCTGGCTCTAGGAATTGACGAACAGGCCAGTTTTATCTGGTGTAATGAAATGCCTTTGCCCGACTGTCCCATTCACACAAAAAACAGCAAAACTTTGTGTAGCCTAGCTGTAGCCCAAGTAAAAGTGCAACAACTTTCAAATCTCCACAAATATGCCATTGGTGCTCATCGTATTTTATGCATGTCAATAGGTACTTCATATTGTCATATGATTCTTTCATGTGAACTGCATACCCTACAGGAAGAGATGGTAAAATATTTCCAATATGCAATAACACTGCCTTTAAACTCAATGTTGAACTGTCTATAAATAATCTCCATTCTTCTGGGTTATAGTTTATATTTAAAGCCGCCAGTAAGCCGTTAATGTTACTGCAGAAAACCAAGTTATTCTCCATATTGAAAAATGGTTCTAAGTCTTTGTGGCGTTTACGAAAAACACATACCGAAACATCGTCTTCTAACAAGTTCCACTGCTGCAGTCTTGATCCAAGTAACTCTGCCTTACATTTTGGAAGTTCTAAATCTCTTACAAGATCATTTAATTCTGACTGTGTTATTTTGTGCGGTTGGTGGCATGACGTGCTCGGTATAAAATCAGGATCTCTTGACGTTGATGGCATATCTTCTTCCTGACGAATCACTCGATCGCCATGATCTGATTCGTTTTCTGATTCGCAAGTGTAGGATTCTGGGGTTTTTGGAATAGGATTTTCGTCACTGTGAGGCACATGTCTCATCGCAGATGGTATGTTTGGGTAGTTAATAACCGATTTTTTTTCTTGGACATACCTGTGGCTTGTCCAACACAAGGTACCATGCAAAAGTAACAATTAATATGGTTTGTAGGCTCTCTTCAAACCATTGGGACAGCAAAGCGCATAGACCGTTTTTTGCCATTTAACCAGCTCCTCAGACTTGAAGCACATGTATTACAGCAGATGTGGGGTGCCCACTGTTTGTCTTGATCACCTAGTTTACAACCGAAATAAAGCTGATATGCCTTTGTTATTAGTGGAGTAATAGACCGTCTCTGAGACGCAAAAGTCTCATCACCACACACGTAACAAAACTGATCTGGATTGTTTACACACTTTCGAGACATCTTGCATGAACGCTGTCAGCCAACTGAGGAAAAAATGACTAATATAAAACAATATAATGTACACGTATGTATAACGTAACACAGTCATGCCGATTACATCATCTTTCCTTGCCGAATATAAAAATGTAGCACGTGCATTCTTGTGAATTACAGTATATTAACACTGTCACAGCAGGAACACATATAATTACCGTATCTCTAAAACCTGAACTAATATTGAAATAATAAGTTTCATTCCGGTTTTAGCACATTAAAAATAGTAATATTTTGTTGATTTTATTTAGGATATTTTTTGGCTGTTGATCAGTGTTATCTCCAAACTATAAAATCTGAGTTAACGCCTTTTTGCACCAAGTGTGACACTCTCGCACTGGTCTAGCAAATGTGCACGGGAATGCGACGATGAATACCTAAGCTGTTTTTAAGTGATGCCGTCAGGTACAGAAATTAGGAATACTTTCTACAATATGAGAAGTATATAATAATTTTGAATCGGTTTCCCTCAGTTAGGAAAATTAAGATCCGACCAGTTTAGGGAGACTCGATCTGTTCACTTATTTCATATGGCGATGATGACGTAACCGCCATGAACGGCGACACCAGAGCCACTGATAGTGTTGCTTTATATTTTCTGCTCATTTTTTATTTTATTAACCAAAAAAAGGCCATATTTGATATTTTTCCTAGAGAGGATGACCTTGATGTTGCCGATTTGGCCATAAGACGTTCCACTCCCCTCTGTTCTACCCTGATGGATACTCGTGGAAAATACCGCATCATCGGCTCTAACAAAGTGCTAGGTTTATTAAATTTTTAATTCATACAAATATATAATGTACAGATTTTTCAATGTATATCAAAACAACAAATTAGCAAAATTAAAATTATATCAGTATGAATATCTAATAGTCAATAAATGTATTTACATTTTCACTTTTTTGTTCATTTCTGCTTATCAGATAAATAAATTGATATCACTGTGTTGCTAGACTATTTTAATAAGAATCCAATAACATCATGAAGAAAATCTCGGTTCTTTAATATATTCGAGGGTTGACTCAAAAATCTCTAACGCTCTATCTTTGCCGCGTGTGATGCTAGCTGAAATCTGCCCATATCGTCGGGACCCCAACAAGAAGCGCCTATTGCATGCGCAACCGAGTCCTTCATCGCATGCAGGTGCGAAAATGTTACCACCCATAGAAATTTATCGCCACTTGATTGAAGTTTGAAATACTCGGGGCAACGTGTATAAGCATCCACTATGATCAACGAAGTTGTGGCGAAGGCTGAGCAAATCTTACTCGAAGATCGGCGAATCGCGATTCGGGAACAGGCAGTTGAAATACTTGAGACATCTGAAAAAGCTCAGTCGGGCAATCCAAAATCGTCCTGGGAAAACTCGCCAAAGCGTAAGACTACACCATGACAATGCACATGATCATGTCTCACAACAACCAAAGGACTGAATCGAGTGATTTTGTTGTGAAGGAGTCTAAGGAGCAGTTACCAGGTTTCTATACAGCCTGGCGGCAGTGCAAATGTGGATTTTACGTCTAAATAAATGTGTAGAAAAAAATGGCGACTATGGAGAAAAATAGCTCGAAGATCAACGTTTCCAATGGTAAATTTGTTTTTTCATATGAAAAATTCCTTGCGCCTGAAAAAAATGTGCGAACCTTATTTCTGAAGCAACCCTCGTGTATTTGCATTTATTGATCTTTCTGACAGTGCGATTCACCAATTTGAAACAAGGAATTTTAGTAACTCTAGTGAAATCTAGCGTCGGATGTCAAGCATAATAATTTTTACAGCTAAACTTTCAAAATAGGAAGTCTTATTTTCCAAATACTAAAAGTAATATACATTTTAAACTTGTCATGATGATGCATACCTTAAACATTCGTTAAATGGCACACGCATTTTTTGCTGTTAGCATCCTCAAGAAGTTTGGATTCCATTACTGCACAGCACCATTACACATCATAATACAGAATAACATAGAGAGATTATACAGGGTGGGTCACTGTCGTAAAAACTGTAAACAAAAGCAGGTTATACTGGGTGCGCCATCTATTACTTTTTTTTACCTATAAGTTTATGTGTTACCATGTGAGTCAAAGGTCATGTATAGATAAATGAACTGTCAAAGGTTTGCTACTTATAGTCATGGATTCGTTTACAACACATCAACGCATTTTGGTTGTCCAAACTTATTACGAAAACGGTCGAAATATAAAAAATACTTTTCGCAAACTTCGCACTAGTTTTGGCCGAAATGGACGCCCTACAGAGCCTGGATTGTTAATCGTTTTGAGAAAAATGGTTCGGCTGAAGGTCGTAGACCATACCAACATGCTCGTCCAGCTCGTACTCGTGAAACCACAGCCGCAGGGAATGAAAGTGTGCGAGATGATCCAACCGCCTCGACTAGGCACCGTTCGCAACAATTGGGAATTAGTGAGACCACTTTACGCCGCATTTTACACTTCTATTTACACCTCCATCCATACAAAATCCAAATAACACAAGAATTGAATCCGGCAGACCATCAACAGCGGCGTGTTTTTGTTGACTGAATGCTGAGAAGACTGATTTTCGGCCAAAGTGCTCTTTTCTGATGAGGCTCATTTCCACCTCAATGGGTACGTAAATAAGCAAAATTGCAGATTCTGGGGGGCTGAAAATCCACACCAATATCATGAACAACCTCTCCATCCTGAAAAAGTGAGTGTTTGGTGCGGATTATGGGCTGGTGGCATCGTTGGACCATTCTCCTTTGAAGATGCAGAACAAAAGGCCATTACCGTCAATGGGGAACGTTATCGCGGCATGTTAACAGACTTTTTGTGGCCACAATTAGATCGTATTGGTGCCGACGATCTTTGGTTTCAAGTCGGGGCAACGGCTCACACATCTCGCCTTATTGCACACGAAATTTCAAGACCGCATAATTTCACGAAATTCGGATGTCAGTTGGCCCCCGAGATCGTGCGATTTAACACCTCTTGACTACTTTATTTGAGGATTTTTAAAAGGAAAAGTGTATGCGAATGGTCTCCGGACAATTCAAGACCTAAAGCGCAATATTCGGACTGAAATTGCGACCACAGACCCGATTATTCTGGGAAAAGTCATTGAAAATTTTAATGTTCGGATGTTAGCCTGTAAACGAAGTCACACGACTGATGTTATTGTTGATACATAAATGGCATAAACCAACCTTCATTTATCAATAAAAAAATTCGATTTCACCTCGCAAAAAGCGCGTTGATTTTTCAAATAGAAAAAAAAGTAATAGATGAGGCACCCTGTACTTAGTTTTGTAATGTAAAACGACCATTTTTAATTTACTTTCTGAAAATAACATCATGCTGATGTCATCCAGATCACCGAGAACTCTCTTCCAAACGAAAGGTGTAAGGTGTTATTGAAATTCACATTGTCGCCATTTCTTCAGAAACTTTTGCTTAATCAAATTATTGAAAACAGTGGTCTTGACGTATCTCAATAAAAATAAATCGAGAGGGGATAAATGAGGCTTTCCTGGTGGCCAGTGTCATATTATAAATCTCATGTTCTACATTGGGGAGAACCCTGTACATGAACAACTTTATCATAGTTAATTTTTATAAGAAAATTAATTCATTTAATTTCGTGGGGCTTGAGAGAAGGAGGACAGCTCCTTCGAAAACGTGCATATGTACAGCTAGAGCAAAAATAGTGAGAAAAGTGAATGTATTCAATGAAAAGTGAGATGGATAAGAAAAGTGAAAAAAAAATGAATCGTTAGCATCTCTGACTTTCGTGAAAAAAATCAAGTTTGATTTAAATAAAAACATCTCTTGATATCAATATTTGATTTAAATCATGGTTTAAATCAAATTATTTAAATCAATCAACCCTGACTCTGCATATGTGACAGAAGGCAAATGGTGACAATTTCAATAACAAATTGCAGGCAAGTATCTGGAACACTTCTCTCTTGATCTGGAGGACATTTTAGGAATGTTATATTCAAAAGATGAATCAAAAATGTTATAACCTGCATTTACTTACAGTTGTATATTACGGCCAACCCTGTACTTCTAAGACTGAAATTGATCGATGTATTCTGTCTGACAATACATTTTCTGCAGATAAGAGATCTTTATTCGATACTAAAATAAAATTAACACAGTGATACCTAATCTCATCCATCCTGAAAAAAGTGTTTGTGCTTAATTTTATGAGTTTAGCAGTCCAAACGGTACAACAAGGTCTTCTTTATGATCCACTTTGATGTCACTGATTGCCGCTGATGCACCGGCTACTGCAGAAATTATCTGTAACATAAAATATACAAATCTAATGAAAGTGACCAGCTAAATCGGCTCATATATGTGGGATAAACAAATATATTTTGGAAAAATGGTGAACCACCTGGTACAGGGTGCGCCATCTATTACTTTTTTTTTACCTATAAGTTTATGTTTTACCATGTAAATGTTGATGTTCGGATGTTGGCCTGTAAATCGAAGCCTTGGTGGTCACATGACTGATGTTATTTTTCATACATAAATGGCATAAACCAACCTTAATTTATCACCTCGTAAAAAGCGTGTTGATTTTTCAAATAGAAAAAAGTAATAGATGACGCACCCTGTATAAGTATTTAAACTGGGATCAAGTCATCTATCAGAAACTAGCTTTCTTGTAAGAAAGTGTTTTCATACAAGGCTGTTGTCAAATCCTTACCAGATTCAGATCTTCAGCCGCAATTGGGTCGGAGCCTAGCACCCTTTCTGGATTAGGTATATCTTGCAAGATGCAATTTCCTTTTCTGTTGAATTTCTGCCTACTGTTATTCATTATCTGTTGAACTCTGATATTGTAAAGTTTCATGCGTTCAAGGTAATCGTGCTGTTGCAAGTTGTGGGTTCCTAATGCAGCAACATCAATTACATTCCTATACAAAAAAATAAAAACATGAAGCTCTAGTGCTTTGAAAATGTCGAATATTGTATGTACAACAATGCAAGAGTTACACTCACGCTGCTGTCTCCTGCAATATCCTTGTGAGTGCGGATTGCTCATCAGTCTTTTTAGGTAATATACTAGAGTTTCTACTTAAAATATCCTCACTGAAAACAAAAATTAATAGTGAATATCAAAAAGATTCATCATTTTAAAGTTTGTATAAGCTTAAAGACTACGATAGAAAATATTGTGTTTCCTAAAATTAAGCTAAGCCTAAACTTAACCAATCATTCAGGAAACTTTGATAGAATGAAGAGACAAGAAAATTTTCAGTTTATTCAACAAAAGGTGGCTATTAAAAATATAAATAACTAGTATCTGCTGCATAATGATCCAAAATCGAGACATTACTTTTAGGATTGTCATGTTAATTTCCATTTAGCTTAAAATAAAATCAGAATACAATGATTCCTCCTTCGAGACTTTTATACCAAACTTCATTAGCGATGTATTATAATTACACTTTTATTTGTAGGAAAATATCCCATATAGAACTGTTTACGTTTTTTGTATTATCAATCTGCAATGCACAAGTTTGTATAACCATTTCAACAAGAATTGCATACCTATCTCTTTGTATATTAACATTATTTGATACTGGGTCTATTAAAAGATGAGTCCTTTCGTTAACATCGCCAGCCTGCAAAAAAAGAAAAGCAGGGTAAAAAGTGATAACAATGAAAATAATTAAAAACCAAACCTGTGATGAATTTTCATCTTTGCAAAAAAAGCTGTAACAGCATCCCATGTTGGCTAGATGCAAATGTTGACGTGATACATTCCTTGGTGGTAATTTCGGTTTAAATGCTGCTGTTAGGTTTTTGATACACAAACAAAACTAATAGTTTATTTACCTATTATTATTTTTTATCAGCAAAATGTACTCGACACTCACATTGACACTTGACAATAGTCAGCTGTTGAATGATGCCTTTCGTCGCCATCTATAATCAAATCCAAGCGAATAACCAAAATTTCTGTGTTATATGCCGCGGTTATAATATGGTTCAAGATGACACACGGGTTGATGACGTCAGTTACACGAATCGCTTGAACGCGTTGGTTTAACCGCGGTTTTGTTGCAAGTTGTTTATTTTAGAAAAGCGCGTATATAATCTCTGATTATTTTTATTATCACTTAATAATCGGTGCTTTTTCGTCTACAACTGTATATGGAAAGTTTAAATAAGAAACCTTTCATAATATTCATGGGAGAAATGTTTTTTCAGATTTTTTTTTAATGATGGAACCATGGCTTTGTAGCTATGATAACTTTCAATTCTCTAAATTTTTTCGCATGTCAAAGGAAGCATTTATTGATTCAGCAGAAATGATGAAAAAAGAAATTAGCAAAACCGTATACAGGTGGATATCATCTAGTGAGTTTATATGGCCATATTTTAATATTCTTGTGGAATATGGCTACACAGGATACTTTGTTAAGCATAGGAACTACATTTAAAGTGTCCCCAACAACCGTAATGAGTATAACTAATAAGGTGCTCCACTTTATGGTAAAACTGAAGTCAGCCTGTATCATTTTTCTCAAAAATGAAGCTGAAATACAATAACAATATCCAATACCCGGCAAAATTCTAACTTGTCACATTTCAAATAATAACCAGAAATATAAAACTACTCTTGAGTTGGGTAAATACCACAATTTTGCGGTGATAACTATGACATATAACAGCTGATTCGTGACGTCACGGATCTTATAACCAAACTGATAACTACCCTCGCTTGAACGGTTTGGTAAATACCAACCCAAAATGGTAAATACCATTTCCATTTGGTTATCCGCTTGAATTTGATTTATAATTTAGCAATAAAATCAAGACGTACCATTTATCATTTCCTATTTTATCGACCGAGTAACGCATGACGTTGACGTGTGTCACTTTTACCTTGTGTCAATTATTTTGTGGTTGTGCCGTAATCGGTAAACAAAAACTTAATAAATATTTATTTTTTATACCCAAAAACTATTTTTTACTACCTGTTAGATTTGTGACTCCAATTTCACAGACACTATTCGGCCTAAATAATAACCTGAAGGACTCTTTATCTGGAAATCGAAATTATGCATGCCATTCGTTCTAATAATTATCGCGATAATTAATTAATGAAGTGATTAAATTTTACGCTACACAGTGATAATGGGTAAGACTGAAAAATCGGGTGATAACGTACCGGGCATGTCGCCACAAACGGAAGCCAGCAAATTGCTTGAACAAGCCTTGATGCAAATGGATGGGATCATATCAGGTGAGCCATTCGTTTGTCACTTGTTTTTACCTGCTTTTTTTATCTGTAGCGTTTTATTGATGATTGTTTCCTGTTCATATTATTAGACGATATTTTTGACGTTGCGAATTGCAGAAGAAATATTCTTATTATTTCAACAACTATTTTGTTTCCTCACAATAGCCTATGAAAGAATACACACTGCCACTGTGAGGCAGCAGCATGATTGCGCGAAATGATCAAAAACTGATTATTTGGCCATACAAAATCGAACCAACGGTCTTTTATGATGGACAACAATTACTACACAGCATTACAACTCTTAACAATATGAGATTCGAGCATCGCATAACGCGCATCCGGCTCATTATGCTCGCTTCCAAGAAAAATGGGCTATTTGAAACGTATTCCCATATAAATAAATTTGCATATTTAGCATGCTTTTTGTACAATATTTTCGGGATTTTGTAGATTTTCCCTCCTGAGAAAATTGCTTTCCTCTGTTCTTCAACAATATTTGGAGCCTGATATACTTTTACAATATGTAAATAGTTATACAATCTTAGATCCGAATTTAGGAGCAGTTAACCTTAACCAATTAGCTTTACTGCCGCCATTTTGGATCCAATATGGCGGATGCCACAAAATGGCGATTCATCATTTTCATAGCAACCCCTATCATATGGGTATCAATTGAACAGGCTTGATGAGAGAAACACAACAACCACAGTGACGACATTCTAAATCCAATATGGCAGCCGCAGCAAAATGGCGATTTACGTATTTCATCGCCAACCCTACGACATGGGTGTCAAATGAAAGGGCTTGATGTGAGAAGCAATGTGACGTCATATTAAATCCAATATGACGGCCGCCGCAAAATGGCGTTATACTTATTTTATAGTGACATAGTGTGCAATATCAACAGGTACATCTCACTGCTGGAACTGGTTTATTGTATCAATTGGCAGTTGATGACTCGTGGAGTAGAACTGGAGCTACGGAGTCGGCAAAAAGGGCCAACGGTGGGAAAGTTGTCAGGCTTCCCACAACTACTACTATTACTAGCTGTAGATACATCTGATTGGATGTATTTAAACGATAATAAGGTTTCAAATAAAAGCCTCTCGCCAAGTCGACACAACGCGTCGTTGAAGTTACCACCCTGCGTTCAAACATACAGCGCCATTGTTTGACTGGCGGGCTAGCAGTTTGCAGCCAACAGTGGTGGTAGTGCTGGTGCATTTTCTGTTTAATCAGTCATGATTGATGCGAGACTGCGGAAAGCGATACACGTCTGGTGCGGCACAGCTGATTGATGAGACTGTTACGCCGTAGTCCAAGAAAATTAGAATCGGGGATCAGCGATGGATCAAAAGCCCCGATTTGCCTGTTTGATATCTCAGAGTTTTCAGGAACTGCTTGTAAAACACTATTCGGAGTTTCTCTCTCTCTCTCTCTCTCTCGCTCTCTCTCGCTCTCTCTCTCTCTCTCTAGCGTTGTCAACCTCGACAAATGTCGGGCCAGTCAACTGATTACGACTGACAGCTGACGCGAAATGACTTACTACACAAAATGTAGCACGTCAGCGTTTCAAACTTTTCGTCGTTAATAAAATGACAATACACAATAATAATAACACTCAGTCAGGTATTAAGTCAAGCATTTGTCTGCAACGCCTACTTAAAAAAGTAAAAAAATCAGAAAAAACTCATATTTCCTTATAACCAAGAAAATAAATGTGATACATCGTTGAAGTCGTATAAAAAAGCTGTCAGATACAGGTTGTACCTTTTTTCGGACCATATAAAAAATAAAGTTGATGACTTCGTTGTGGGTTACGCATATTTCAGCACAACTGGGCAAGCGCATAGTGAAGACCGAATTTTCGTACGTTACCATCAAATAAGTCTATCAAGCTTCAGTTTCATTAATTCTAATAGGCCTGGGTTAGTATGAGGTAATTTGGAAAACTGCATCACACTGGTGGTAGCTGTGCTGGGTTTGCTACCGTTCCATATTCTCGTTTCCCGGTTTCCGTTTTCCGTAGCGGTCCCTGACAGCTCTCGTATATTCCATAACTGACAGCGTGCGCGTTGACTACAATAGACCTCACAATTGGGCGACTACAGCAGATTGCTCCTCAAATTTTAACAAAATCAGTATATCGCCATCGGTTACTGATATTACGCCGCCACAAAGCTGCGGAAGTCAACCGCATGGTTCTCCTTAATGTAAGCATGACAACACATTAATGATTTTACATCGTGAATCAGTTAATTAACAATAATTATGGTTTTTAAAAGAAATATTACTGCTGCTAGAATTTGTTTTATGCTAGAAAAAAATATAGCAAATTCATCGTGTCTTTATTGTATAAATGTTTGCTATAATTGCAGTTTTAAATCATAATATAAATCATATACGAACCCTGTCTCAGTGTAGTTGGCCCCACTATCAAAACTACGTTTTTTTATGAAATTTTGGCTTTATCATTACGCCATTTCGCTTATTGTGTCTCTTTTATCAAGCCCTTTCATTTGATATCCATGTCCTAGGGGTGGCTGTGACAAATAAAAATCGCCATTTTGCGGGGGCCGCCATAGTGGATTTATCATGATGTCACTTCGCTTATTGTGTCTCTTTTATCTAGCCCATTGATTCCCTAGGGGTCTATGACAACCTGCAAGGAGTCTACGTCAGCGAAAAAAAATTTGGGGGTCCATGAAATGAATATGGGGGTCCAGGATAGTGGATCTCAACACATACACTGATAGTACCTATTTACTTACATCATACTATCTTATAATATCAAAACATATACATTATTTATAAAAGTACCTATGAAGTAAAAAATTTATTATATATGTTTATAAAATTGTATAAGTTGAAGGATGTTGGTATTCGCTTTGTGGTCGCAATACATTTTGAACTTGTAAAAACCTGAGAGTCGCAGTCTCAGAGCTTCGCTACCTTGCACTGACTTGTTCAATTCGTCACTCTATAAATACGAATGTGGGACAAATACGTTTATTCGTTTCCTCAATCTTGAAAAGGAAAGTGCTAAGAAAATATTTTAAAAAATATAAACAGATAGTATATCACACAAATTATAGTGAGTCAGTGTTTATTTTGTTTGAGAGTGCTGGAGAAAAGTAAGTACATTATTTTTTATTAAATTTTAGTTTTGTACTCGTAGTTAGCAAAGATAGATAAATTACGCCAATCATGACTTTAGTTATTAGAAGTTAAATATTCAATCATGCAAAATTACACGAGTACTCCTCAATAGTTTCTTTTTGAAAGTTTTAGCAATCGGTAATATAATTACAGTGCAATCTCCGTAATTCGAGCTAATTGTTGCAAGAAGATGTTCGAATTATGGAATGTTTTCGGAAAAATCAAAAAATATTTTTAATATACAGCTGCTTATTTAAATAATTTAATTTTACAGTGTTGATTATTTGAAATTTGGCTTCATTCCATCATTGCCGGACAAACAATCGCCTATGTGCCTTTTATGCAACAAAATTTTGGGCAATGACGCTATGAAACCATCTAAACTGCAAGATCATATGAGACGATGCCACCCTGATAAAACAGAGAAAGATTTGAAATACTTTCAAACACTCAAAGATAAATTTCAGAAGAGACCTACACTGGACAGAATGTTCGCTTCGACGTCACAAAGAAATGATGATGGTTTGCGGGCGTCTTACAATATCTCGTTACTTATAGCAAAATCCGGAAAACCGCATACTATCGGAGAGAAGTTAATTTTGCCAGCCGTTGAAGAGGTTTTAAAAACTGTTTTACACAAACCTGCATCTGATATCATTAAAAGAATTCCCTTAAGCAACAATACTGTTGAAAGACGTATTGATGAAATGAGTTCTGATATTGAAAGCTTCTTATGTAATTATTTGCAAACGACCCATTTCTCTATACAACTGGACGAGTCAACTTTACCTGATAATGCAGCATTATTATTGGCATACGTTCGTTTTATTATGAATCAAGAAATCTACGAAGAACTGATCTTCGCAAGAACTTTGATAACCGACACTAAAGGTGAATCAATATTTCATGTTTTGAAGAATTACTTCATTGAAAAAGCAATTCCTTTATCAAATATAATATCAGTAGCTACAGATGGAGCACCCGCCAAGGTTGGACGTTATCGTGGATTTATAAGCTATTTAAAACAAAATGTGTCAGGGGTGTTAGCAATACATTGCGTCATCCATCGACAACATTTAGTTGCTAAAAATTTGAGTGTTAGATTGCATGAATCACTTCATTTAGTCTTCTAGCCCTTCCATTTGATACCCATGTCATAGGGGGGTCTGTGACAAGTATAAATCGCCATTTTGCGGCTGCCGCCATATTGGATTTCGAATGACGTAACTATTGCGTTTCTCTTCATCTGATAACCATGTCATAGGGCTGGCTGTGACAAACATAAATCGCCATTTTGCGGCGGCCGCCATATTGGTTTCAGCATGACGTCATTTCGCTTATTGTGTCTCTCTTATCAATCTCTTCCATTTGATACCCATGTCATAGGGGGGTCTGTGACAAGTATAAATCGCCATTTTGCGGCCGCCGCCATATTGGATTTAGAATGACGTAACTATTTCGTTTCTCTCATCATTTACTATGGAAATGATGGACGTCATTTTGTCGCATCCGCCATATTGGATTCAAAATGGCGGCCGTCAAGATTTGTCCCACACATACGAGTACATAAGAACATACAAACAAACAGGTCAAGTTAAACAAAAGCTTGTAAAAAGATTCCGATAGAGCGTCTCCGTCGCATGGAGTTTTAGTCTTGGAAATTGAAGTTCTATGGTAGCGTATAGCTCCGGTGGCAGCGGCCGGAGTGGAGTTCTGCGCGTTTCGGGCTCCGGCAGAAACGCGATCAACAAGTGCCAGTTGTTCAGTTTCCGCGGCACGCTACGCGCGCTACCCGGTCTTCCCGTCTGTTATTATGTGTGTATATCGCCGTATACGGGGTGCGGAAAGTCGAGTGAATCAGTGAAATGTTTAAATAATTCTTTATTTGGGTCTAAATGTATGGTGTTCATTATTAGAATTATATTTGTACCAGCTGTTACCTGCGACTTCGTACGCGTTAGATTGTTGCTTTTTGGTCTCGCAATGACTGTATTGCATAGTAAATAAACAGTCAACTTGCATGCATGGAAAATATGGTTATTTTATTGAACGGCCAAGCTGCGGGGATAAAACTACGGTGCGGAAAGTTAACAAATTAATATTATTTCTAAATTAAACTAAATTTTACGTCGAAAAATCTACCTCTCTGCCAAATTTGCGCTTACACGGTCCTTTCTTAGTTAGTAAACAGAATCGTTGGCAATTTTTCGATATTAGGAAGATCCAAGCAATTTCAAACAAACTTGCAAGTGCCCTTTCATCCCTTAATCCGTTCTTAGCTGAAATGACCTGTTCATAAACTACATCCCTGACAAAATTGTGGGTCAAATAGTTTCCGAGATTAATGCGTTTGTTTTCTGAAGTGCCTCTCTACCAAATATCATGTTCATAGCTTAATACATTCCGAGATCTCGTGATTACCTTTTCGCTTAATTTATATTTGTCCTTAGCTCTGTTAATCCGGCCCTGTTCTAAAATCAGTTCTTCACTAACACGTCCTGGCCATAAACTACCTCCATACCAAATTTCTTTGCTAATAATGATTTTAAAGATACAATTGAAGAAAAAACCTACTCATACTTTTAGACGGGATTAATTTGAAATGTTCTAAATTTCCTATAAAAACTTGAAAAGTCTGAATTACCTCTTTACTCCCTTAAGAACCGAGCATACGAAGCCTATATCTGTTAACCTAGCTTTAAAAAATAATAGTTTCCCGTAGTAGCTTTTACCCCTTATTTCAAGCCGTTCAAGTCCGATTTTCTTAACAACATCTCCAACGTCTAATCTATATATGTTAAAATTCATCAAAATCGGTACAGCCGTTTTGGCGTGAAAACGGAACATATATACATACGTATACATTCAAACCTGCATATAAACATACATGCATACTTTCATAAATACATACAAACATGCGTACAAACATACAAGCATGCATACAAAAATTCATACAAATATACATATAAACATACATACATATAAACATACATACATACAGATCGTCCCATTAGAGCAGTAAAACAGTTTTGCATAACAGGCATAGAAGCTTAGGACATAAACAAAATTTTTAATCGTCCGTTTTCGGCATTCTCCGTCAGCGACAGACACTTCCGCAGCGCAGTAAAATTTGGAAACTTGTGACATGTATACAAACATACATACATTCATACATACAAACATGCATACATTCGTACATACAAACATGTATACAAACATACATTCATACATACAAACATGTATACAAACATACATTCATACATACAAACGTATGTATGTATACATTCATACATACAAACATGTATACAAAGATACATTCATACATACAAACATGTATGCAAACATACATTCATACAAACAAACATACATACAAACATACATACATTCATACATTCATTCGTACATTCATACATACATTCATACATACATTCATACATACATTCATACATACATTCATACATACATTCATACATACATACATTCATACATACATACATTCATACATACATTCATACGTACATTCATACATTCATACATACATTCATACATTCATACATACATTCATACATACATTCATACATACATACATACATTCATACATACATACACACACACACACACACTTTCGCATTTATTAATATTAGTAGTCGCTAGGCGGTGTCTCCATAGCCTTGACACAGGAACTTGCACATAGCTTTCCGATATTGGTCCTGTGGTTCATACTATCTGAAACGGTAGTTTTGACAGGCCTTCCCGGTGACACAGGAGATGCACTGGGGTTTCCCAATGCTTTCTTCAGAAATGGCATAATCTAGGGACTTTTTCTTGGTCCAATTACTTACGGAATGTTTAGTGCGTGTTCTCGTCACGCGACAGAAAGGTTCTGAACTTATAAGGCACCCTGTTGGGCTAGCTCATCCGCCTTTTCATTTCCTTTGTGCCATTCGCATGTCCTGGTACCCAAAGTTACCTTGTTTCCCATACTAATTTAGACGATATTTGCGATGCCTTTATGGCTGCTTGGCTGTCCGCGAAGATGACGATCTTTTGCACAGACTTCAGCCTGAAATGTTTTACTTCGGAAATACTAAATGCGGTACGCACTGGCTAGATACGCGATTCGAGAGTTGGTGAATTTAAATTTGTGCACCGGTCCGAAGTCTGAATTATCCAGCGATCACTTCGAATTTCTATTCACCCTCATGTATACGCGAGGTTATTGCACCCTGATGCCGTACACAACTCTCGTTCGTCGTTCTATCGTAGTTTCGGCGTTTTCCAGCTCCACTGGAGAATAAAGAGAGCGGCAGGGGATTCTTATAAATTAATTCGTATGATCGGGGAACGTCTAAGTTGAGTTTTATTGGATTTTTTTTGTCTCGCCGATGCAATACCATCGAGTGTTTAAAGGAAAGCCGAATAAATCTCTCGTTATTGTCTCTCGGATGTCTATCCGAGACAGTCGGATGGTGATAAATGGTTTGAAATGAAAATGTCCGGGAATATGATATTGCGTATGTTTTGCAGGTTTTTGCTGCATTACGGCCTCAATAAGGTAGAAACGAAGACACTGTTTTTAATGTTCAAAGTTACTCTTACAGTAATTTATAACAACACTTACAAGTAATTTATTACAATTTTATAACCCTGTCGACTGGACTATTGACTCTATTAATATTATAAAACGATAACTGCTTTAGATCAAACTTTGAATTTGAAAGTGAATAGGGAAACCATGTATGGATTTCAAAACCTAATTCTTATTAGATAAATAAAACACGTATATTTTTGAGTTGTTAGAGCAGAGTTCCCCGAACTTTTTTGTGTCGTAGACCCCTTGCCATGTTTTTACGTGTTGGGTAGACCCCCTACTTACCTGATATTGATTTCCTGTAAATTTCTAACTGTTGTGAAGTTTAGTGTTAAAAACACATGTTAATTTATACATTTATTAATTGAATTTAAATTAAAACTACTCAAAATAAAATTTTGTATCTGTTATGTAAAATATACGTAACATTAAATAAACAGGTGTCTGACCAATAAGTGCCCGCATTGGGAATAAGTGCCCGCATTGAAAAAAAAAGAGGGATGAAATAAAAAAAAGTGAAAAATAATACAAAAAAAGTTTTTTACTTAAAATAGTGCAATAAGCGAGTTCGTTTATTAATTATAACATAAACGTATGTTCTACAATAATTTCACTGTTAGTTTGATTAAATTCCGCTTCTTATACGTTTAAGTTATCTAAAAATAGGCAAAAAATTAACGAATTTTAGTGTGTACCTATCCTTGAATTTTCAGAATAATTTAAAAAAAATATTTTCTATATTCTGGGTTCTTTAAAAAAATCAATGCAGGCACTTATTCCCAATGCGGGAATTTATTGGTCAGACACCAATAAACATAAAATAAACTATAAACAGAATAACATAAGCAATAAGTCAATATTTTTAGTGAGAAGGATCAACCTGATGCTTTAATAATAAATTATCAACATTTGGCGTCAATTTTGTAAGGGTTAATCTTAAATCTCCTCGGCTAATGATGTCCAGTCTGTTTCTTTTTTTCGTTAGGAGATTGGTAACAGCGCTGAACCCCCTTTCCACTAGGTATGACGATGGAAAGGCAATACAAAATTTCCTCACTATATTCCATAATATGGGATAAGTAACGGGTGTTGTTTTGCAGCCAGAATTGCTGATATCGTTTTTAAACTGAACCTTAAGTTCTTCGTTTGTACTTAGTTCAGTCAGTTCCTCTTGTATTATGACATTCGTTTCTTCTATGTCACCATATGGATTAATTATCCACGGTGGTATTACCATAGTCAAAATATCCTCAAACCTAGATTCAAAATCTGAATAGAGGGCATTTAAATGTTGAACGTAAGTTGAAACGTCGTCTTCCTGGCAGCTTGTCTGTGACAAATTGGGGAACTGAGAAAATTCGCCCCGTCCAATATTTTGCTTCATTAGTTCAACTCTGGCAAGAAACGCTGATAAGATGGACTTTGTTTTAATCAAATTTAAACTGTCGCCTTGTAATTGCAAATTAACCATATTAAATTTTGTAAACAAATCTGTTAAATAGGCGATGTCTGTTTTCCTCTTCATTAAATTTTCTTTTAAAATTGTATCTTTAGTATCCAGAAATTCTAAAATAGTCTCAAAAAGTGCAAAAAATCTTGTCAAACATAAGCCTTTCGACAGCCAGCGTACTTCAGTGTGAAGGACTAATTGATGAAAGTGTTGGTCATTTTCTTCACACAACTGCGCAAGTAACCGCGTATTCAATGCGTTGCTTCGGATTCGGTTTACTGCATCAATGACTAAATAATGAAGTGATAGAAGACTAAATGAAGTGATTCATGCAATCTAACACTCAAATTTTTAGCAACTAAATGTTGTCGATGGATGACGCAATGTATTGCTAACACCCCTGACACATTTTGTTTTAAATAGCTTATAAATCCACGATAACGTCCAACCATGACAGGTGCTCCATCTGCAGCTACTGATATTATATTTGATAAAGGAATTGCTTTTTCAATGAAGTAATCCTTCAAAACATGAAATATTGATTCACCTTTAGTGTCGGTTATCAAAGTTCTTGTGAAGAGCAGTTCTTCGTTGATTGATTCATAATAAAACGAACATATGCCAATAATAATGCTGCATTATCAGGTAAAGTTGACTCGTCCAGTTGTATAGAGAAATGGGTCGTTTGCAAATAATTACATAAGAAGCTTTAAATATCGGAACTCATTTCATCAATACGTCTTTCAACAGTATTGCTGCTTAAGGGAATTCGTTTAATGATATCAGATGCAGGTTTGTGTAAAACAGTTTTTAAAACCTCTTCAACGGCTGGCAAAATTAACTTCTCTCCGATGGTATGCGGTTTTCCGGATTTTGCTATAAGTAACGAGATATTGTAAGACGCCCGCAAACCATCATCATTTCTTTGTGACGTCGAAGCGAACATTCTGTCCAGTGTAGGTCTCTTCTGAAATTTATCTTTGAGTGTTTGAAATTATTTCAAATCTTTCTCTGATTTATCAGGGTGGCATCTTCTCAGATGATCTTGCAGTTTAGATGGTTTCATAGCGTCATTGCCCAAAAATTTGTTGCATAAAAGGCACATAGGCGATTGTTTGTCCGGCAATGATGGAATGAAGCCATATTTCAAATAATCAACACTGTACTGTCTACATTTCTTTTTAGATTCGGACATGGCATCAGTCATCTGTGGGCAAAATTAAATTATTTAAATAAGACAGAAAATCCAGCAGCTGTATATTAAAAATATTTTTTGATTTTTCCGAAAACATTCCATAATTCGAACATCTTCTTGCAACAATTAGCTCGAATTACGGAGATTGCACTGTAATTATATTACCGATTGCTAAAACTTTCAAAAAGACACTATTGAGGAGTACTCGTGTAATTTTGCATGATTGAATATTTAACTACTAATAACTAAAGTGATGATTGGCGTAATTTATCTATCTTTGCTAACTACGAGTACAAAACTAAAATTTAATAAAAAATATTTTCTTAACACTTTCCTTTTCAAGATTCAGGAAACGAAAAACGTATTTGTCCCACATTTGTATTTATAGAGTGACGAATTGAACAAGTCATTGCAAGGTAGCCAAGCTCTGAGACTGCGACTCTCAGGTTTTTACAAGTTCAAAATGTATTGCGACCACAAAGCGAATACCAACATCCTACAACTTACACAATTTTATAAACATATATAATAAATTTTTTACTTCATAGGTACTTTTATAAATAATGTATATGTTTTGATATTATAAGATAGTATGATGTAAGTAAATAGGTACTATCAGTGTATGTGTCGAGATCCACTATCGTGGACCCCCATATTCATTTCATGGACCCCCAAATTTTTTTTCGCTGACGTAGACCCCTTGCAGGTTGTCATAAACCCCTAGGGGTCGATATAGACCACTTGTGTTAGAGTCAAATGGAAAAAATTAGACATCCTAAATGTCCCGTAACATCCAAAAAACATAATATCTCAATTACGAAATTTTTCACGACTAAAATTCTTCCTCGCCAATTTTGGCGTAGGAAATAAAAATCGGTTGGTTTAAACCGCTGTTTAAACCTGTCAATCCTTTCTGATGATAAACATGCAAATTTGTAGATATGAAAGACCCACAAATTGTACCCACTCCCTTTTATCTCGTTTACGTAATGATGAATCTTTCATGTTTTTCCAAGAGGCATTCATCGCAGGTACTAGAAAGAAAATTGGATTTCCTTTTGCCCAATGGCCGTCCGCATTTACTTTTGTTTTCGACGCACAAAGCTCTCCAGAACTCGATCGTTACCAGAACAAAATATTTCTTTGGCAGTCGCTGTATACTGTTTTTTCTCTGTCTATTCATGGAAACCTCGGAGAAAAAGTTATTGTTATAGCTCGGCGAATATGAAAGGACGTTTATTATTTTGCCTTTTGTTTGCCGCGCATATACCGCTCTTCGGTAACAAATAGAACAACTATATACGGGGTGAGCCGATTTATGCATAATAATTTTCACTTTATTTACGATTTCTTCCGAAAGAGCGAATATAAATGTGCTCAAAGTTGGGTCATTCCTAGAGAAATAACGTGGTTGTCGATTTGATATGAGCATCTTCAAGATCCTATTGATACTCCGCGAGTGCACCCAGAAAGTCGTCGTCATCCTTGACGTTTCTTTCCATCAGAGCTGCATATGTTTGTATTGTGCAATATCCATTTGAAACATTTATTTTATATAGATTATGCTGAATATGATGCCTTTGGTATTTACAGGGTGTTTGAAAAATAGACGGAGGTATTTTAGAGGGTGATTCCTTGTTAAAAAGTATGAAAAGAAGTTTCTGTAAACATGGATCCTGAGATGTGGGAAATTTGTACTCGATTCTGTTGAAATTTGACAATATTATTTGTTGTATTGAGATGCTAATTTAGCCCTAAATACATTAAAATTATTAGGTCCAGTGGCGTCCCGGGGGCACCTTACAGAATATTATTGTCAAAAAAGGTACGCCACTGTCTTTTCGTAACTTTAATATTTGTTGTTTGATTAAGCAGCTTTGCCTCTTGTATTTTTTCTTATCTCATTTCGTTTTCGAAAAAAAAATCATTATATTGCATGCCATTGGACAAGATTGGTTTATTAATTTTTGCTAAAGTAACTTGGAAAACAAAAAATCAAAAACTTTCGGGAAATACGCAAATTATGCAAAGTGTGCTCTTTTAACTTACAACCGAAGCTTTGGCGGTCTATGCTGGATTTATGACGTTCTTTTTGAGAAATTATCGAAACCCAAGGTCATGTTTTACTAATCACCACAAACAGATTCAAAAAACGTTACTGATTAATTATTAAAACATTTCACATTAAAACATTCCACATAAGGAATTTCTATTATAATGTTTTCATAAGGTATAAGCTTCGTAATAAAAATTATCAATTGCTATGGAATGAAAATACATGATTAGTTCGTAATTGTCTTAGAGAAACTGACATTACTAGTTCATTTGTTATGGTGAGTGATGAATTGCGCAGTGTTGCGTCTCTATGAATCGGTGGTGGTGGATTAACATGTGCCATTCTGGCAAGATAAAGACTCAGCAGCAGCAGAACTACATTCATAGTGAGTATCTAGATGAAAATAACCGATTTATTTCTAGTCGATTTTGTGTCTGCTTCTATTATTTATTTACCTTCTTACAAACACACACCAATGTATTTAAACGGCACAATACAAAACAGATATAAAAAATATATCCAATGCTGACATTGAATTTGACCTTGACCATGGCCTTCAAGGTCATTTGAAGCTCAAGTCAAATGGAACCCTCCATTTTGACTCCGTAAATCGAAAGATCGGAAATATCAAGTTCAAATAATGATGTTTACCATGATTAAATTTTGACCTTAGGAGGTCATGGTCAAGGTCAAACCCAGGTGCGGTGACATAACTTGAAAGCTTTTAGTCGTATAGGGCATCTACCAAGACATTGTTTTCATGATTTTTACTTAGATATCCAATGGTGACCTTGGAACTGACTTTGTCCATAACTTTCAAGGTTAGTTGAAGGTCAACTATTTAATTGGACGATACGAGAGAAAAATAAACTACAAATTCAAAATACTTACATTTTAAAATGACACAATGCAAAACAGAGATAATATATATATATAATATATATATATATAATATATATATATATATATATATATATATATACAGGGTGACTTTGAAGATGAGTCATTAATTTTCAGATAATGATTGTAGAAGGAAGATAAACCAAAATGTGTGTGTAAAAATAAAAAAAAAATAAAAAAAATGTTACCTTGTTTTATAAAGTATCCTCCCGACAAGTATTTCAGTGCGGACCTGTATTTGATCGTGCGGTCTTGGAGCACCGGCATGCCCTCCCCTGTGAGGTCTTAAGTCACCTGATTCACGAGCCCTTTGTACTATATTCAGCATTTTCGTAAACATGTGCCATTTTTTATTCACTATTCACTCACGCGTTACCGACTGACACATCGACTGGATACAACTGAATAAGATTGTACATTGTAGTAAAAACATCGTTTCAAATTCTTTCGCTTTTTTGTTTCCGATCGATGAACGGATAAGGCGGATTATATCCGTTGTTGCCAAACACGAGCACATAATATTATTATTGAGACAGGGCGGTACTCAAACTTCTAAAGGGCTATAACTTTGTTACTTTAATTTTACCAGAAAAATGTTAAAGGAAAAAACATTTCTTTTGATCAGATCTACTCACTGTTAAAATAAATGACTCAACTTGGAATATATAATATATATATATATATATATATATATATATATATATATGATGTTTCCCTTGTTATCCAATGGTGACATTGAATTTCACCTTGACCATTATATTCAAGGTCATTTGCAGCTCAAGTCGATTCTTTCAAATAGAACCCCCTATGTTGACCCAGTAAATGAAAAGAGCGGAAAATTTCAAGTTCAAATATGATCTTTATACAATTATTAAATTTTGACCTTAGCAGGTCAAGGTCAAGGTCAGGTGATATAACTTGAAAGCCATTGCTCGTATAGGGAAACTACCAAGACAATGTTTTCATGATTTTTATCAGTATATCCAATGGTGACCTTGGAACTGACTGTGGCCATGACTTTCAAGGTTATTTGAAGGATAATTTTTTTATTTGACTATGTACTTTTGGCCGCGGAATTGGGAAAAGGGATAATTTTATAATCGAATAGGTCGTTGTCCATTTTTGGGATTTGCCCTTGGACTTGACCATCAAGGTCAAACACAGTTTTACCTTAATTTCTTGATAATTCAGACAACTGAGTAATTCCCAGATAAATTGACTTCACTGTTCTTTCAGGATTGGTTTCTGGCTACAAAAATTGACTTGACCGTCATATATGACCCTCAAGGTCATCATGATTGAAGTCATATCCAAGGTCACAGTTGTCTCGGTAGTTTCTGTACTCCAAGTACTTTACAGACGTAAAAACTGCTTGACTTGACATCAGATTGCTAAATATCTAATATTTGACTTGAACTTGGCTTGATTCAAGTTTGAGAACTCCCATCCCAAATTTAATACTCGCAATCCGTAATTGCGATCCGCCTTTGACGTTGAGCTGGCGACAATTTCTTTACGTCTGATTGCCACCGCGTTCTCCGAACTGTGTGTGCAATGTTCATATATGTCTATGCACATACGAGTATTCACTGAATAATCCTCTGATCACTATACGGGCGCTAAGTGACTATACCGAGTGTTTTCGCAGATAAGGAACATAACAGAATTCTTGATGCAGATATAGCGAATTTCGGATACAAAAGTTGACGTAAATTCCACCAATAAAAAATATCTCTGACCTACTCGAAACATGTATCAAACCTGATACGATATACTGACATGACGCCATTACTGAGCATTTTGTTGCAAATAATAATGTCTCACTGTTACAGACATTAATAAAATTACGGAATGCTTATTCTTTAACAAACATCGAGTAAATAATCAATTTACTTCACTATGATGACTTGACTAGGAATATGTCGCGCACTCTACTGGACGGTAGGATAACTATGCGACCATATCACGCCGCGATAACGGTGGCAAGCCTAGAAGTAGTCCTACTGCCCAGTAGAGGGCGCGCGAGCTCCCTGTTAACAGAGCTGGCTTAAGGAACACGGTTTTTCGCAAGTAGTCAAGCAAAGTGAGTATTTCCTCGATGTTAAAGAATAAGCATTCTACAATTTTATTTATAGATAGATAGATAGATACATTTATTGTCTTGTAGATCATAAAATGACATAAGACTCGTCCTAAGGGGGAGGTACATAGTACACTTAATTAAAAGTAAAAACAAAACAAACATAAGTATTTGCAAAGTACAAACAGGAACAACTTAAGGCGTACAGACATTCACATATAAAAAATATATCACAGTGCGAGGTATTCAGACAAAGAGTAGAAACATTTTTCAACTAATAAATTTTCGTAGTTGACATTTAAAACTAGCAATACTACTGACATTCCTGAGGTTAGCTGAAAGTTTGTTATATATTCTGATGCAGGTGTATTCCGGTGACTTCTCGATCAGCATGTTCAATGCAAAACGTAATCAACACATGCCGATATTGTCGTATTGTGTTAAACTTCTAGTGATCGTAAATATTCACAATTATCCCATAGGCCTCGGTTTATTTACCTGCATAAACGATCACGTTCAAATACATGATCGGCCTCGTTATCAGTTAACAAAGGGCTATTATTACAATGCTAATGGCTTTGACTATAGGCGCTGCATTCGATAAACGTACAGCGGATACGTATAACAATGATCTAAACTTTCATTTAGTTTGTTGATCGAAAACATTTTATGTGTGTTGATCACTCACACTAAATTAGATTGTATTATAAACCGTCAAAATGCGTCAATTAATGAAATTATCAGGAATTGTATTAATGAAGAATCTCCGGGGGGACTCGCCATACGAACCGCCAGGATGCTGGTTTATTTATTTATTTATTTCCAACAGGTGAAACCCAATTACAGGAAACGCCGAAAAAAATAACAATTAAAGAGACATGGTTCTTGGACTTAAATCTATAGTATCACACATTCTAAATGAGATTGGATGATCTATAGCAGTTAATAATCGATGCACAACTGTCACTGTAAATATCACACGATTCAGTAACACTGTACATGACGCAGCACATGAGATTAATTAGCGATTTTGTCATAACATTTGTAAGGAATGCCGTTTGTTGTCGAGTCCCTAGCCTTGGAACGCGGAAACATTTTTTTCAAGTAAATTTTGACAGTCAATTTTATTGTGAATGAGGCCATACAAAAACGACAAAGCAAATATGTTTCGTCTTGTTGACAGTGAATCCAAATTGAAAAACTCTAATAGGGCACTATGGTCACAACCTCTTTCTGGATAAGAACCTGTGCATTTAAGGTGAAAATACTTTAAAGCTTTACGTTGAATGGCCTCAAGGATCACGACAGAATTTTGGTATATAGGAGACCAGATCAGAGTCGCATACTCCAACTTGCTCCTGACAAAAGTAAAAAATAAAGTCATTAATGTATCAACATTGGAGAAACCCTTCCAGTTTCTGATACAGAAACCAAGTAGCCGAGTGGCAGCGGACGAGATATTAAGTATATGCTCAGTAAACGTTAGCTTGGTATCAAAAATGACTCCAAGGTCTCTATAAGAGGTGCATCTGTCTATAACCTGACCATTGATGTTATAATTATCATAAATTAAATAGTTAACTTTTCTTGTATAAGTCATAACTTTACATTTCGAAACATTCAGACTGAGACAGTTTCGTGAACAAAATGACGAAATTAGAGCTAAGTCATCTTGCAACATGACGCAATCCTCGACTGTCTTGACTGACGTGCAGATTTTAAGGTCATCAGCGAAAAACAAACACTTCAGTTCAAAAGACAAGTCATTAATGAATATTAAAAACAATAATGGACCTAGATTTGACCCTTGAGGTACCCCAGACGTGGCCCGATAGTAACTCGACCTATGACCACCATATTCGACAAATAACTTTCTATCCCTCAAATATGAATTCATGAGCGACAACATTGCATCAGACATACCCACTGTTTTAAGCTTATCCAAAAGTGCATAATCAACTTGATCAAACGCCTTCTGAATATCTGTGTAGATGACATCAACTTGTCCCTGACCGTCCAGTACTTCAGAAATGTACTTAGTAATCAGAGCCAAGTTGGTGACCGTAGATCTGCCTCTCATAAACCCATGCTGATTAATAGAGACTGCACCCCTGACCGAGCAGTAAACCGTTTCATAAGCGATGATCTCAAACAACTTGCTGAAATTCTACAGGATTGCTATTTGGCGATAGTTGGAAATATCAGAGATATCTCCACTTTTGTGAATAGGACAAATTTTAGAGGTCTTCCAGATATTTGGATATGTCTCTGATTTTAGAATTAGGTTGAATATGGAAGCCAGCGGTTTCGCTAGTATATGAATGCAATCTTTAACGAAAAAACTTGGAATACCATCACATCCAGACGTCATTTTATTCTTTAATCTTTTCGAAGCCCTAATTACGTTTTCTTC